GACATCGTGGACCTCGTCCACGATCTCCGCACTAGGCACAGGAAAGTGGCCGTCTAGGGCAGGAGAGCTGCCAGCCTGGCCACCCAGGACCAGGTGTGCATGAAAATCAAGGGGGTCCACTGAGACCCCCGACACTGAGCCCTGAGCTTACAATGGCCGTCCTGGGTCAGACCAAAGGTCCATCTAGCCCAGTAGCCTGTCTACCGACATCGGCCAACCCTAGGGACCTTGGAGGGGATAGACCGAAGACAGTGACCAAGCCATTTGTCTCGTGCCATCCCTCTCCAGCCTTCCACAAACTTTGGGCAGGGACACCACTCCTACCCCCTGGCTAATACCACTCCGGTGATCCAGCCTTCATGACTTGATTTCACTTCCCTTTAAACTCTGTTCTAGTTCTAGCCTTCACAGCCTCCTGCAGCAAGGAGTTCCACAGGTTGACTCTTTGCTTTGTGAAGAACAACTCTCTTGCAGCCCCCCAATTGCCCCCTCTCCTCAGATGGCAGCCTGCGGCAAGTGCAGCCGGGCTGATGGCCGAGTGGTGTGATGTGCCCAGTGTGGGCACTCAGGGCACTCCAAGCCAGGACTGGTTTTCAAGCGGGGGGGAGAATGGAGGGGGTTGTGGCGGGGCGCAGCAGCCCTGCACTTTTGAAATTCCCCAGTGCCGGCCAGTACGGGCCATGTGGGGTTGAGGGAGCGCATGCACGGCGTACTGAAACGCCGTGCAACAGCTGAGAGGGGAGACGCCCGGGCGTGGCATGGCATGACGCCACGACCTGGGACTTTAAAACCGCGCGGTCCAGCGTTGCACTGCACAGTTCGGCACGTGGCCTGGAACCTGGGCCGCGGCTGTCCTGCACACTGGAAGGAAGAAGGTGGATGGCAGAGGAAGGGGCTTGTGCTGAGGGGAAGGGGGCAGGTCAGGAGAAGAAAGAGGAGGAGAGACAAATGCCAGGGGGCCAAGTGGAGACAATGAGGAAAAGGGCAGGAGGGGAGGTGTTAGTGAGAGGGAGGACAGGGTGATGCTGGGAGAGGAGAGGGTAAGGGCATTGGGGGCTAAAGGGGGAGGGGGAGGTGCTGGGAGAAGGCTTGAAAGGAGGGGTGGGCGTGAGGAAGGTGGGGATGGAGCAAGGCATGTGAGGGCACAGGGGCATGAGGGGAATGGGAGTAGAGGATGGTGAGGGGGTGGGCATCAGGGAAAAAGAGGGCAAAGGGCGCAGGGGCAGTGAGGGAAGGGGGAGGCACCAGGAGGGTGCAGGGGTAAGGGAAGGTGCAGGTGCCAGGGGATTCTGGGGATGAAGCAGAAGGGCAGACACCTGCAGGAGAGGGACCAGCACCAGGAGGAGAGAGGCAGGGCAGGTGTGTAGAGGGAGGTGTTAGGAGAGGGGATGAGGAAGGGGTAGCTCACATGATCAGTGTAGGGCTACTGGAGGAGTGGGCATACGGGACACCCCTTTTTTCTGTTTTTTCTCCAAAGGGGAGGCCCCGCAATATTGTGCTGCCCCTGGCCAGAGCAGTCAGAGCTACAGCTGTGAGAGGCCTCCAGGGTACATCTAGACAGCTACCTTGCATCTTTTAAACACTCCCATTATTTCAAAATATTTTTCAAAATAACGGATGCGCTATTGCGGCATTGTTCCACGAGGGCTAAAGGATGTGTCAAAATAGTGTGTTATTTCGAAATTTGGTGCTGTGTAGTTGTGCCAAATTTCAAAATAAGTTATTCTGAAATACAATTGAAATAAGATATGCAATTTCCGCAGTGCAAATTGTGTATCTTTTTTCGAGTTTAGAGTACTGTAGATGTACCCACAGAGGCCAATTATTTTGAATTAGCTGCACTGGATTGTCCACACTAATGCTATTTCAAAATTAGTGTTATTCCCTGAGAAAAGCAGGAGTACAGATTTCAAAATAACCAACCCCTTATTTCAAAATAACAGCTTTTGTAGTGTGGACGCTCCACTTGTACATTTGACTTAATAAGGGTTATTTATAAATAACTCACTTGTGTAGACGAGGGCTAAATGACAGTAGCTAGGTCAATGCTTCTGTCAGTCTAGCTACATCTGCACTTGGGGTCAGGTTGGCATAGCTATAACATTTGGGTGTGCCTCTACATTAACAAAAATTTTAAGTATGCATCTACCCTTATTCGGATCTAGCAAACATTTAAACACATACTTACTTTACATGCACATAATTTTATTGACTTCTATAAGACTATTCAAGGGCTTATAATTATGTATGATCTGCCTCATGTAGTCATATGTAATAACAATTAGAAGGTGCAATGGAATAAAAATTCACACCAATGGAAAATGTATGAATAGACTATGGGGGAGTAGCATTTTATTTAATATATCACCTGATTTATTCTATGGAAAAATCATAGAATAAAATGTGACATTAAGCTCATCAAACAGAAAATCACTGAACAGTAAATTATCATATTTGAAAGATACTGAGATGAATCATGCTTCAAGTTCATTGACTTCTGCACATGTTACTTAAGGGTTTACCTATAATAATATACAGAGATGCAGCTATCATTATATATGATAAAGTAAACTGAAGTTGTTACTCTAGAAATATATATTTTTAAAGCTATTCTAGAAAGTAGAGAATTAGACATTTATTAAAAATCAGTGATATTTTAATCTGCCCAGATAGGGTTACATTAACAGACAATAGCTTGAGAATTACCACATACTAAAGGACTAATTCTGTTATTCTGATGACAAAACATATATTAGACTAAATCAATTGGTTCTCCACATTTTTACAAATTACCTTTGTCCTTATAATATATCTGATTGCACAAGTTAAGACCAGCCATTTTAGTCCCAGAAATACCTTGATATTAAAGGAAAGTATGTACATGTGTGTGTCAGTGGAGAAATATATCTCAAAGGATAATGTCCTTAGGTGTCTTGTCTGTTTAGTTGGGATTGCTGTCTTTTGCAATTCTGTTATCCACTTTGCTCAAGTTTTAAATAAAAAGAAACAAAACAAATATAGGTTGGATCTAGGGTTGCCAGATGGTTTCAACAAAAATACCAGACACACTTGACACTACATCACAATCTACATTACATCTTATTTAGAAAATACTGGACATTTATATTTTCTCAATTTGTTTCCCAAACAGAAAGCTTAAATACTGAACTGTCTGGTTCAAATTTGGACACCTGGCAACCCTAGTTGGATCCCATAGATAAGTGTTTCCCAATTGGTGCTCTCCAGAACCCCCAGGTGCCGCAAAGTGAAAGTAAGGGTTCAGTGAGAATGCAATACTCTCCTGCCCCCTCTTAAATAGAGGGGGGTTTTTTGCACAATCAATTCTAGCGGTTTTGGTTTGGTTTTTTTTTTTTTTTTTTTGCTTGACAAATTTTATCTTGGCAACCCTCGGAGGTCCTTGAAATTCTTTTAAGCTGAAAAGGGTTCTGTGGCCAAATAAAATTGGGAAACTCTGCCATAGATGGATTATTAGGTTTATTAGCTATATGTTCAATACAAATGTGTGCGTGCGTGATCTTGACAAGACTTAATAAGAAAATTTTGAATGTTGAGTCTGCTGTTTCTTGCAGCATGTTATTGTAAAATCACAGCTGTAGATATAAGCATACACAGTTTGGCTACATCTATGCTGCACAGTTATTTCAGAATAAATTATTCTGGAATAGTTATTCTGAAATAGCATGTCTACACTGCAAGGAAGCCTCAAAATTAGTCCGAGGCAGGCTTCCCTAATGTAGATGTGCGATCTAGATTTAAAGGAATAACTTAGGAGGAATAACTTAGAATGGCCCTGATGAGGGGCTATTTCGAAATAGCAGAAATGGAGCATCTACACACGTCTTATTTCCAAATGGCTATTCTGTAATAAGTGTTCTTCCTCGTAGAATGATGTTTACAGAAGTCAGAATAAGCCATCCATTATTTTGAAATTATTTCAAAATAACGGAATTGCTGTGTAGACACTCGCATAGTTATTTCAGAATAATGGCCATTATTCCAAAATAACTTTGCTGTGTAGACACATCCTTTCACTAGTATGAGCCTTGGACATGGGCTCCTATATAATGGGGAAGATACTCAACTATTGTGACGCAACAGAGCTCCGTGGATGTCAGTGAGCCTACACCATTGTTACACAAGTTGAAAATCCCTCCCAGTTCTATCACAGACTTGATTAACCCCCATTGTTTTGTGTTTTGGTTAGTTTATTTTATCTTAGCACTGCACAAATATGGCTTCGTTTTAAACAGCTATCCTGTCGGCAGGAGCGTTAGAAAATGCGTTTTGATAGCCGACTCAGGATACATTGCACTCAAATGCTTCCCATTTATGTGGTCGGTGTGAAAGCAGGCCAAGGTGGGGATTCAAAGAAGGAAACAGGAGCCAACCTCTCCCAGTGGCCGCTCTGTTTTCATCTGGGCCCCAGCGAAACAGGCCTGAGCGGATGGAAACTGAGCCGCCCCCCGGTGAGCGATGCGCTTCAGGCCCCGCTCTGGTTCGAACGTAGCAACGGTACAAATACGGGGGAAGGGCGGCTGCGAACTCTCGCCCGGGGCCCTGCGCCTGAGCAGCCGGAG